CTCCAGAACCTGCCGTTCTCTGAAAGGCCATATGTCCAGCGGGCTGACCTCATCTACATCCCCGCGCAGACCACTCCCCTGGCCAGTGACTGGTTTCTGGGTGGGCATGCTGCCTGGTTCTGGCCAATGCAACTAAGGCAAGTTCTACTGAAGAGGTTCTGGGAACACCTGAGAAGAAATGGCTTGTCCTCCCTTTGGAAGTTTTCATGTCTGGACGGGACCCAAGCAAATTCTGTATGCATCTTGGGACCTTGGACGCAACTGGCCTAGTTCTTGACACACACGGACACGTGCGCGTGCGCGCGCGCACACACACACACACACACAACACACACACACACACACACAGACGCTGACTGACAAAATCCTGGGGTCCACCTCACTGATAGATTTATGATTATGTGAGATTAGAAAAGTATTTTTTAAGACCATTTGAGTCAGGTTTTCTGTTACTTTTAGCCAAGGGTTTCTCAGCCTTGAACCTACCAACATGTGGGGCCGGGTAATTCTTTGCTGTGGGAGGGCTGTTGTGTGCATTACAAGATGTTAGGCAGCAACCCTGACCTCTACCCTTAGATGCCAATAGCTCTCCTCCCTCAGTTTTGACAACCCAAAGTGTCTCCAGACAGTTTGCCAATTTGGGGTTTGGTGGAGGGGAGGTACATATTGTCCCCAGTTGAGAACCACTGCCTAAGACAAAGGCATCCTAATGAATGTGAAGGCCTCTATTCAGTGGATCCTCAGGAGGATAAAAATTCCTGCTGCCTATGTTCCAGAGTGTTCCAAGGATCAAAGTGAGATCAGGTGTGTGAGAAAAGCAAATACACACAAGGTGTTGCTAATCATTACCTGTCTTTGATGCTGCTGCTGCTGCATTGATAGCGATGTTGTAGTTTCCATTTATTCTTTTAATGCGCAGAGATGTTTAACTTAACAGATGGCCAACATGGATAGTGAATGGAATTCTCCCCGACAAAGCTGGTGAAAGAGCTCTGGGGTTCTTCCTCCTGCTCAGAAACACTGATCTCCTACAGCCCTGCCCGGAGCTGGACCCCCAATCCCGACTCCTCATCCCAGGAGGTGATGGGGGCTGCAGAGCTCACTCTTTAGTGTATTTTCACAGATTAAGAGAGATCTTCATATTTAGCTGCTGGAGAGATGGAGACCCCTCCCCCATAATAGTGTATTCAGAGCTCACACATCTGTGTATTTGAGACCTGCAGTATTGGGGCCCAGTCTTGCCTTGTGCTCCCCTTCCTCGAACCAGCTGGCACATCAAGGTCTCTTAGATGCCTCCTAACTCCTACAGTCAGTGCCTTCAGATTCATCACTTCTTGGAGAGTTTGTGTCCCTAAGTGTCACAGAATGTCTCCTGTGGCAGGAAGCCTTATGAGGGGAGCTAGACTCTAGGTGTGGAGAATTGGGGGCGTGGGAACAAGTGAGGGGACCAGCGCTGGAGATATCTGAAAGCAATGGATGGATCAGTCATTTCCGTCGCCAAGTGCTTGCCCTTTGCCTGCCTGGGGCTGGGGTGGGAAGCAAAGGGCATTAGGAGGCAGCTGTGGCCCTCACAATCTACTGGGGAATATATGGTGGACATTGGGTTGCTCTCCTGACCTTGTCCCATATCATGGTATGGAGTAACTACCCCCACTAACATGGCAACTATCCTGACTTTGTGCCGCATCCTCACCCCTGCAGCCTGGGTGCTCTGTAGGTCACTGACTTGCCTTCTGAACCAGAGGTAGGACACATATCTGGGCTTGACATATGATGCCTTGGACTGGAGAAGGCATTCCTTGGCAGCTTCTAGGGAAAAACAGTTTTCTTTTGAGGGAGGGGGGCGTGCCTTGCAAAAGTGATGCCAGGTCTGGCCACAGCCCAGTTATTTCCATGAAAGAGTCAAGCTGAGGATTGAGCCCATATATAAAGGAAGGCCAAGCCAAGAGAGTTGCAGGACACTCAAGCCAGAGCCTTCCTCAAGCATGTGATCCACCTCCGGACTTCTTGGTGGCAGATGTTAATAAGACCTTCTTACTATGTAAGCCAGTTTGAACTGGATTTTTCCGTTCCTTGAATTACAAACTGTCAAAACTGACCCAGAGTTTGGTACCAAGAAGGGGATGCTACAATAAGCAAACCTCAAATGTGAATTGGCTGAGAAGAGGTATTCACATGAAGAGCAGCAGGATGTCCCCTTGAACTAGGAAGACGCTGATCCCGGGCTAGCAAAATGGCTGGTTCTCCCTGTTTAACCCTGGGATACAGACCCTATGTGTAGGGAGATAGGACATTTGGAGAGATCTGGTGGGAAATACTCAGGATGTTGGCTACCTCTGGCAGTCTTTGTTAAGATCCTAGGAGACTCGGGGCGCCTGGGTGGCCCAGTTGGTTAAGCGTCTGCCTCCAGCTCAGGTCATGATCCCAGGGTCCTGGGATCGAGCCCTGCGTTGGGCTCCCTGCTCGGCAGGGAGCCTGCTTCTCCCTCTCCCTCTGCTTCTTCCTGCCCTCCTCGTGCTCTCTCTCAAATAAATAAATAAAATCTTTAAACAAAAAAAAAAGTTCCTAGGAGACTCAAATTTAGGAGGAGGGTAGCCCATTTGAAAATGGGGAGGAATAAAAACACAGCTTTGCTGAGAGAGGGCCTTTCTGCCTGTGGCATGCCAGCTGAAGTGACTGGACTTTGATAAGCAAGCCCTGCTGGGTCAGAAAAGCTGATGTAACTGGCTAAAGTTAGAACACAGGCAGCAAATCAGGTGGCTTAGCAAGAGAAAAGATCAGGGCCCTGGAAAAACAGTGTCCCCAGGTCCCAGGTCTTTATGGAGCGTCTTGTCTTAGGTACCTCAAGCTTGATGAAGGGGACAGCTCATTCACTGAGAACATGGAGCTAGGGTACAGCTGGGGGGCAGGGAGCCGACGTGGGGTACCTTCACGTCAGAGGTGAAGGAAGATGCCATTAATCTGGGGAGCAGGGCAGTGGGCAAGGCACAGAGCCCTGTTGCCAGCTCAAGGATTCTGACCTGAGACCAAATCCAGCTTGAACTACCAGCCCAAAGACTTGAATAGAAGAAATCCAGGATATTCTTAAGGATGCTGACTTGCCAAAGAAAGGGGCCAACCAATGCCTGAAATTGCCCATTCCTTGGGCAACCCCTGAACTTGTACCAACCAGAGGTGTGTTGTTAAAGCAATGACTCTCCTTGAAAGACACACGCCCACTCAAATGTTGGTGAGGCAGCAGATGGGCTAGCTACACCCAAACGCAGAGCTGGGGGCCACCATCTCGGCTGACTAAGGCACTTGCTTTAGCACCATGGCAAGGAATCGCCAATATTTCCTCAAGACTGCATGTACTGTTGGCCAATGACACCTGAATGTGTTTCCCATGGTCCCCTTCTCCAAATGGAGAATTCCCCTTCTGGAAATTCTTATTGCAGATAGACCGGGGTTTTTCCCCCCTCACTATTGACTATGTTGATGGTGGTGAAGTTCAGAATTCAGTTCATAAGTTATCATCCCATGAGTTGCCACTTCCAGACATGATGGAGAATATGATGCATCTTCCAGAAAATATGAACTTGAATCTGAATCCAGTAACTGGATGAGTCATAGGGCTTCACCCATTGGGGGAGGAGGTGAGTCTACTTTAGCCAAGTGTGGGTATTTCTGATGATTATGTAGTGGAAGAAGAATGTACAGATATTGGGTCACCAAAGGGGTGGACGATAGTGGGGTATTATGGTTACTGTTTAACACTCAGCTCCCCTTCTCCGGATAATAATCCTGATTTTGTTCAGGTAACTATGCTTGATCTCACAGCTTATCTGGTTTAAAGAAAGCTAACTCCCCTCCTAGATCTAGGACTGGAGTGTACTGCCAACACTAAGCTCACACTGGTAACCCTATGCAGACCTTCAGGACTGGATGAGGCTCTGCTCGGAATGCCTCAGAGACACGTTCTTTCTCTTCCCTTCTTCTTCTGGGGCTCAGTGCTAGGAAATATGAGTCCTAAAGCAGCCATTTCCCTGCCATGAGGGGAACCAATCGAGTCCGAAGCCAACACAAGGAGGAAAAGTTGAAAGAATCAGAGAAAATGGAGTTTTGGTCTTGATTGCACCATACCCATCCTTACCCTTGGGCTTTTGAGTTATATAATGTCTTCTTTGATAGTTGATCCAGTTGAAGAGTTTTCTGTTGTGTCACTAAACAACCAACTATTACAGAGTGTGGTAAATGCTAAAATAAAAATATGAAAAAGTGTTGGTAGTAAAGAGAGAAGGTGGGTTAATTAGCTAAGAGGAGCAATGATTTCTTTTTTTTCCCTTTAAGACAACTTTATTGAGAAATCTTGGACTTACAGAAACTGTTTATATTAAGGTGCACAATTTGATTGGCATACACACACTGAAAAGATCACCATGATCAAGCTAAACAACTGATCCGTCAGTTCTTTATAGGTATCTTTTTGTGTATGTGTGTGTAGTAAGATGTAATTTAAGATCTACCCTCTTAGAAGTCTTCAAGTATACAATATATTATTGTTAACTATTATTACCGTGCTGTATACACAGATGTCCAGAATTTATTCATTCCATGTAACTAAACCTTTGCACCTTCTGACCAACATATCCCCATTTCTCCAACCACAATTCTGCTCCCAAGAAGCAGTGTTTCTTTAAGCACTGACAGCAGGAACAGTAGCAGAGAGAAACCCATCACAGTTCTTAGCATTAAACACATCCCTTTGGTGGAATTTACTAGACTCATCCAGGGCCATCATTGTACATTTCTCAGTCCATCCAGGTGGGAATGGATGTGTTGAGGTCTTCAGGGCAGGGCACTGCCCCTGACATCTCAAAGTCCTCAATAAATATTGAGGGGTGGAAGGAAGCCTGCCATCTGTTGCCCCTGTCCCTCAGCAGGGCAGTCCCCCAGTGTCCTCCCTCCCTGTGAGCACCCAGCCACCTCCTAACCCTGTTCTCCCACCGCTGTTACAGAAGATGGATCACATGTCTCCCAGGCTGAGAGCCTTCCTCTCTGAACCCATTGGAGAAAAGGATGTTGCCTGGGTGGATGGGATCAGCCGTGAGCTTGCAATCAATTTGGTCACCAAAGGTTTCAACAAGGTAACTCATTTTTTTCTTATTGCCCCAACTTCACTCCCCGACCTCTCTTCCCCTAGCCCTGCCAGATGGCGGCCGCTGCTATGTGTCCCTGCAAGGGGCCATCACAGAGCAAAGCCACCACTTGGCAGAGTGCCACTTGTTTCAGCGTCACTGACCCCTCATGTTTGGGCAGCTTCGAGGGCCAGTAGATGATGGGCAAATTGAATGGCTTTGGCTCAGAGCAGCTGGGCAGGGCATGATTCACTTGGTGTTCAAACACCCAGAGGTCAACAGAAGTGAGCCAGCCACCCGAGTCTGGGGCTGCGCTGTCAGGATGGATGATTTGCACATACTTCCCACCTCCATGAAGAGACTCGTGGGGTCTCGCCTGCCTGACTAGGGCACCAGCTTGGCAATGGCAGGTAGAGTAACAGCAGCCTGGGGTCTATACCAGAGTAAGAGGATATGAGTTGTTCTAAGATGTCACTCACAGCCCAAGAATGGCCTCGAGGGTACCCAGTGGAATCGGAACATTCTTTTCTATGTAATTATTTGTTTTTATGGTGCTCTTGAAGCTGCTTGGAACTTTAGGGAGAATGGGAGACGATCCCGCGGAGAACCCAAAGACAGTGAGCACATACAGAGGTGGTTGGGAATTCACGTGGAGCATTGCGCGCTCAGTTGAGAGATTTTGCTCACAGCTACTGCTGCTCATTCCCTTCAGTTTCTAATGTCAGTCTATACCACTGTGCAGGAAGATGTTGCAGAAACGCCCGACAAGCCTGGGAACTGTTGCACACACGGCTGATAATCAGTTTGGTGTGCACCTGCACCATGCATGCTGTTTCTAGGGGGCCTTGAACTAATGGGTCTCTGGTTTTCTGGTCAACACCCTGCTTATACCAGTTGTGAAATATTCTGAATATCACCCCAGTCTACTGGCGCATTTAATATCCACTAGGTGGTATTGCCAGGAAGCTGGAGTTCCACCGTTGAGGTGGATTGGATTCTTTCCTCCCAGATAAAGGAGATGGGACCCTTCCCAAGGAAGTAGTGAAGTAAGCAAAGTCTGGTTAGGGAAGACATTTTAAATTAAAAATTCCTTTTTGAAAGAAATGATTGTCCCTTTTCTATTGTGGTATAATGCACCAACATTGATATGACGGGTTCAGCTCAGTGAATTTTTACATACACACACACACACACACACACACTCATGGAGGCACCCCCCAGATTCAGTGATTGGATACCTCCAGAATGCCCGATGATCCCCTTGTGTCTCTCCCCCATCAATGCCATCCCCCACTCTCAGATATACCCATTATTCTGGCTTCTACCCCCTTTGATTTAATGGGTTGTGGGGTTTTTTGCTGTTGTTCAGCCAGACTCAGCATTTTAAAAATATTTTTATTCACATACAGTGAATTTCACCTTTTTTAGTACACAGTTCTGCAAGGTTTAACAAATGCATGCAGTCATGAAGTCACTACAATCAAGACACAGAACAATCCCAACACTTCAAAATGTTCCTCTGTGCCCTTCATATTCCCCACCCTCAGCCCCTGACAACCACTGATTTATTTTCTGTCCCTATAGTTTTGTCTTTTCCAGCCTGTGTTTTAAATGAGGATTACAGGTGGGGCAATAGGCATGTTTAAGATAAAGGAATGAATGAATAATGGGTAAATTTCAGGCATCCCAGAACTTGCTGCACAGAATCAGGGCTGTAGGGAAGAAGAAACCATTTGCCTGGGTGTGGCCAGGACCCTCTTATGCTCATGACCTCCTGGTGAGCGCAGTGACCAACACACCACTTCCAGGCCCTACTCATTCCTAGGGTCACTAATTCCAAACACTAACGTAGGGGATTTCACCTTTCTCCTTTGCTTTGAGCCCCTCACCTACCTGCAAATGAGATGAGGGTCGCTATCTCCACTTCACAAAGGAGAGGACAGAGGCTCCTGGGAGTTAGTGCCTTGATCAAGGTCCTGAGTGAGGACAAGAATGGCGATGGATCGTGTTGTCACAAACCACACAGGAAGATCTGGGTCCCGGTTGTTACCACGGCAGGGAGAGGGCTTACCCTGGGATTCAGTGGTGAGACTCTGTTTCAGGGCTGGCCTGTAAAAGGATCCAGGAGACCCGATGTGACACCTACAAAGGTGAACAGGTGCTTCTGGGTGAGGACCGGTCAGTGGCTAGGGCCAGCAGGAAGAGCCTCCAGGGCAGGCAGATCCTACAGGGAAGGGGTTTCAGATTTAGCATATATTTTTTTATTATTTATTATTATTTTTAGCATATTTTTAGGCTTTTATTTTTAGAGCAGTTTTAGGTTCACAGCAAAATTAAGCAGAAGATGCAGAGATTTCTCATGTACATCCTCTCTCATCAGCCACACCCCTACCAGAGTGGTACATCTGTAACCATCAAAGAACTTACGTTGGCACACTGTAATCACCCAGGGTTCATAGCTTATTTTAGGGTTCACTCGCAGTTTCTATAGGTTTGGGCAAATGTATAATGACACATATCCCCCATTATAGTAATGTACAGAGCTGTTTCACTGCCCTAGAATCCTCTGAGCTCCTGGATTTTTATACCCTGGCTGCAAAGAGACCTTAGGGAGGATACCTGTCTGGGTCTCATGCTATCCTTTGCTGGCCTCTCCTGGGGTCTAGTTGTCCCCTCCCCAGCTATGCCATGACTTTTAAAACTATTGATTCTTCTATGGATTCACCAAGTCTCTTCAGGACTTTGACAGTCAAAAAATTCGCTGAATTCTCTCTGAGGTATTTTGTGCCCGCTCTTCTCCCAGGCAGTCAGCCTTGGCAGATCTAGATCTCTGTTGTCAGATGCAGTGGCCACTGGCCATTTGTACCTGCAGAGCACGTGTCTGAATAATGCTTTAACACTATGCATATAAAGTACACACCATGATTTTATTTTAAAGATTTAGAATTTTAAAGTACCCCACCCAATGCAAAGTATCTCATCAATAGTTTTTTATTGATTACACTTTGAAATGATATTTGTGAAATATGGGAGAAAATGAAGCATATTATCAGAACTAATTTCACCTGTTTCACCCCCCCCACCTTTTTCTTGTGGCTATTAGAAAATTAAAAATTGTATATGTGGCTGGCTCACATTAAATTTCTACTGAACAGGGCACCTGGGTGGCTCAGTTGGTTGAGCGACTGCCTTCGGCTCAGGTCATGATCCTAGGGTCCTGAGATCAAGTCCCGCATCGGGCTCCCTGCTCAGCGGGGAGTCTGCTTCTCCCTCTGACCCTACCCCCTCTCATGTGCTCTCTCTCTCTCTCTCTCTCTCATTCTCGCTCTCTCAAATGAATAAATAAATAAAATCTCTAAAAAAAATTTTCTACTGAACAGTGCTGGTCCAGATTTAACAGCAGAAGGGCCGAAAGGGACAAAGGAATGACTGGGAAGGGAAAATATGTTGGTGCACAAGACGCTCAAGAGGCTTTCGATGGCCTGGCTCTAGCTCTGTCTTATATTTCCCACCCCCACCCCCCCATACCCAAGCCCCACTGTCCATGAATCACAAACACAGATGGGACCACCTGCCCGCAGGCCTCTCTTGAAATGAACATTCACCCACTTCAGGACCCCATTCACAGCGGACCTTCTCTGGGAAGAATGCCTTCCTTCTGCCCGCCTACCCCAGCCTAATAAGCTTGTGCTTCTGAACACTGAGTATTCAGTAGGACCCCTTGCTGTGACATCTGTACTGTTAACTATTCTTTCCACACATGGCCTGAGTACCCACCCTCATTATGCTAGAGAGGCACAGCTTGCCTTTGGGGCTCTTCCACGTCTCCTGTGAAGCACAGGAGGGTTCTACAATCTTTGTACTCCTCTTCTCCCTGTGAAAACACTGCCCAGGAATGAGGGAATTTCCAGGCACTCAGTAAATTCAGGGACTTTGCGCAGTGCCCTATGGGGCGGGTGCATTACTTGGGGGATAACCCTGAGTTATCCAACAGTGAGGAAGTAAGTTTACCAGCCCAGAGAATCTGGTTTGGTTCAATGTTCTTTGAAGACACTATAAAGTCCTATCCTTGAGCCTGAATCTTCCTCCGGAAAGATACGTGGAAGATCAGTAAGGGATATATGTATGGGTGCCCGCCTGCTCCCTAAGGCTCTCCTAACAGCAGAACTTAGGCATGATGTTTGCTACATGTCAGGCTCTGTCCTCAATGCATTATTTATATCTCATCAAAGCATCAGAAAATCCTATAAGGTATACTATTTCACCTTTGTTTTACCAATGGGGAAACAGAGGCACAGAGCGTGACCTGCTCAAAGTCACTCGGGGTGAGAGAGTTGAAATTTGCATCTGGGCAGACAGTCTCTGGGGTTGGGGGGTAGTCATGCAGAGGCCCCCCACTGCCTGATGTCTGGGCCCTGCAAGGAGTCAGTCGTGGAAGTTTGGGGTTACCCTGCATAGGGTTGCCAGATAAAATACAAGGACCTGCTGCTCCATTAAATCTGAATTTTAGTCAAACAAATAATTTTTTAGTGTAAGTATATCCCAGGGAGGCATGGAGAAGAAAGAAGAGGCAAGCCCTGCATTGGATCAAGCATTCACACTACGACAAGGAGTTTTAAACCAGAAATGACCGAGAGGTACCGGATTTTCAAGATTGTCACTGGCTACCAGTGGCCGTGAAGGCTGAAGAGCCAGAATCCGTTTAGAGAAAAAGAGAGTTGTTGATCCCCCAACGAAGTCTTGTGGCCACGTAAATGCATTCCCTCTAGGCTCCAAGGAGCTGGCATTGCAGGCAAAGGTGAGAGAGAAGCCTGAGAATCAGCGAGGGCCAAGACCATGGATGTGTTTGCAAAGGTCAGGTGACAGAAGGTACACTTGTGGGGAGTATTGCATAACCTGCAGGGTGTAAAATCACTATGTTGTATACCTGAAACAAACGTGTGTCAACTTTGCTCAAATAAAAAAAAAAAAACAGTTAACGAAAGAAAAGAAAAGGCCAGGTGTCACAGTGAAGATGGAAGATTTTCATTGGCTTGGACTAGGACCAGCCACCTAGCATGAAATGAAGATATGAGGCCCCTTGTTCCCCTATACCGAGGAATTCAAGGTGGCCGCAACAAAGCATTAAACCAAGGGGGGGGGCCTCTGTCCAAGGTGGTGGGACTAGGCCATGTCTGCTCAACGTTCCCGTGTCTCTGCGTCACCCTCCCCACAGCCAGATTTTTGTGAGCTTTGGTCACTTTCTGGAGCCAGTGGAGAAACAGAACAGACTTTGGGCAGGGCGGTGATGGGGACCATGATGATGGCTAACTTTTCCTCCCCACCCCTGGAGGGTGGCAGAGTGAGTGGACGAGGAATAGCAGTGGCAACTTGGTTCCAGAGGCCACGAGAAGAGGCCCTTCTTCCCGCAGCGTTCCTGGAAAATTTGCCTGTGGTCCTACATGGCATGTGTTCCCTGGCTTCCCAGCTGCTGAGGCTGGTGGGGATATGGAGGCTCTGATCACCCGACCAGCTGATGCCAACAGCGGGGCCTCCAAAAGGGCAGAGGCCTCCATAGGTGTGAGGCCAGATGTGGACAGTCAGGATGGGCAAACATGGGGCTCAGGAAAACCTCTTCTATTCTCAGTGATTCCATCTGGAGAATGGGAGGGGGTTAAAACGTGCCAGGGATCTGGAGCCCATCAAAGGTCCTCAAGCGCCATTACTATTATCATTATTATTACTATTATTTCTCATCTTCCCTAATGTTCTTTCTCCCTGGACAGAGCTCCTTGTTCCTTGATCCTGTCGTTCACCTCTACACCCCACCCCCCACACCCACTGCAGCACCTGGCTCAATTAACATTCAATAGATGTTCATTTTTTTTAAATGTTGAATTAAAAGACATCTCCATAAAATCACCACTGAAAATACAAGGATATGAGATCGTTCTAAGCAATAATATGGCTTTTCTAAAAAGATGATTCAAGTAGCAGTTGAAAATGACCATGACATCCTGGCTGTTTTTTTAATCTTCTCAACAACCGGACCATGACTAAAAATAAGAAACCCCAAGCTCCAACAGCTTGGGTACATTTTACAACTGCAATTCAGCTTTTATTTAATTTCTTTAAAAAAAAAATGTTCCCTTTGGTTCAGATGAAGTTTGCTTTGTTTTATGTAACTGAAAGTAAATAGACAGCAGCAGGTTTTCCTGGAGAAGGCCCAGGACGGCAGGCATGGACACTGGTTCTCGTTCATTCCAGGCTGGAGAGCCCCCAAACCAGCCGCGAATGAAGGGCGTTTATGTGACCTTAAATCTCCAGGCTTCACCATTGAGCGGCTCAGTCAATTTGTGGCCACTTGGTCTTGGGCGTCCCTTTCTCCATGTAATCCTCGCTCCTTGTCAATAATCACGTGATAAAATTATAAAGAGATTAGGGAAAGTTGTAGAATAGTAGTTAGAAAACGAGAGAATGCCGAAGAGCTATCAGTCCTGGTGTACTTAATATTAATTATGTGTGTTTTTCATGCGCACAGACTTCAGAAGGGAAGAATGGGCAAGGTTTATCGTGTTTTACATTCTGTGCTCCTCCCACAGGCTAAGCATTCCAGGACAAATAAGGAATTTGCATTTTCCTGATGTTTTCACACTGAATCTACTTAATTCAGTTTGCAAGGTGGGGCAGGGCATGTTGTGTGCCTTCAGGCAATGCAGAAACTGAGACCCTGTTTCTTGGGGTCCTCACTTCAGGTTAAGTGAGTTGCCTGAGGTCACACAGCTGGTTTGCAAGAACAGATTGGTGTTAAGATGCCCTTCATCTACCAGTCCCACGTGCAGTGGTTCTTGGTCAAAGGAGCTTTTGTGGCAATGTCTGGAGGGGGACATGTGGCAATGTCTGGAGGCACTTATGACTGTCACAATTTGGGGGGCTGGGGGACTGCTCCCGACATCTAGTGGGTAGAGACTGGGGATGGTGCTAAACTTGTTGCAATGCACAGGACAGTCCCCAACCCACCCCAACAGCACAAAATTATCCACAATGTCAACAGCCAAGAGAGTTAGAAACTCTGCAAGATGGATTGAGAAAGTGATGGGGTGGGGAGCATCCCTGATTCTTTGTTATGTGTGCGTGCATGTGTGCATGCGTGCGTGTGTCTGTGTTAAAAAGAAATACTAGGGGCACCTGGCTGGCTCAGTTGGTGGAGCGTGCAACTCTTAATCTTGGGATTGTAAGTTTGAGCTCCACGTTGGATGGAGAGATTACTTAAAATCTTAAAAAGAGAGAGAGAGAGAGAGAGAGAGAAATACTAGATCAGAGGCCAGAAGGGAGTATGCTAGGCTCTTGCTACTCAAAATGTCCCTGGACCAGCATCAGCTGGGGACATGTTGGAAATGCAGACTTTCAGGCCCCCCTCCAGACTTAATGAGTCAGAACCTCCCTTTTAACAAGGTCCCAGGTGATTTATGTGCTCATTAAAGTTGAGAAAGGCAGGTTCTGGTTTACCCCAGGCTGAACATTCCCCCAAACCCGACCCGAGAGATGTGCATTTCACTTGGCCTCACATCTCACCAAGGGCCAGTCCCAGAATCCACATCGCCCAGGTACTATCATTGTCCCTCAAACCAGACCTGGGCCCCTTCCTTCGATTTTCGCGAGGGTCCTGGTGTTGGATAAGAGCACCTCTGGGTTGGTTTATTATAACCTTTCCCATTTTTCTCCTTGCCTCTCCCCCACCCCACAGGCCTACATTCTGTTGGGACAGTTCCTTCTGATGCACAAGAACGAAGCAGAGTTTCAGAAGTGGCTCATCTGTTGTTGTGGTGCCACCGAGCATGAGGCCCAGGAGAGTTCTCATTGTCTGAAGGAGTGGTGCTCCTGCTTCCTATAGACACACACCTCCTGGCTCTGATGCCTGGGTAAACGGCGCACTCTGTACTGGCACCCAGGCTTGGAGTCATTTTTGTGTTTAACTTGAAGGATACACGTTCATTATACAAAGTCATGCATGAATATAAAAGAAGACAGACAAAAGACAAATGATCCCCAAATTCACCCACACAGAAACCACTGTCATTCACCTCCCATGAACATCATGCCAAGTATCTCAGCATAAATTTATATAAAAGAATCTTTTCTTCTAAGGTGGGGATTAAGTTTTAAACCAGTGTATTGGTTATCTATTGCTGCATGGCCCATGAACCCAAAGCATAGCGGCTTCAAACAAACAATTTTACCTCACACAGTTTCTTAGCGTCAGGAACTGAGAGTGGCTTAGCTGGGTGGTTCTGTCTCTGGGTCTCCCATGAGGTTGCAAACTGGCAGCTGGGCAGCAGTCATCTGAAGGTTTGACTGGGGCTGGAGGCTTCACTTCAAGGCGTTGCACTCATGTAGCTGTTGACTGGAGGCCTCAGCTGCTCTTTACGTGGGCCTCTCCATAGGGCTACACATGGCATGGCGTCTAGCTTCCCCCAAAATGGCTGACCCAAGAGGGAGTAAGAGAGCAAGCAGGAAGCCACAGTGCCTTTTACGAACCAGTCTCTGACTCACACTGTATCACTTCTGCCTTCTATTTTTAGAAGCAAGTCATTAAGTCCTCAAGAGAAAAGAACTAAGCTTCCTTGAAACAGCAACTAATATGGCAGACCTATTTTTAAAAGCATCATAGTCAGGTTTCTGAGGTATAAGTCATATTCAGTAAAACTTGCCCTTTTTAGGTATAGTAGTTCTATGACTTCTGACAAATGCATTGTCTTATGACCACCTCCAGAATCAAGACAGAGAACACTTTCAATGCCCCAAAGAGTTCTCTAATGCCCTCCTGTATTCATCCCCGTGCTCCTCCCCAGCCCTTGCCAACCAATGATCTGGTTTTTGTCCTTATAGTTTTGACATTTCCAGAAAGCCAAATAAATGTAATCACACACTATGTAGCCTTTTAAGAGTGACTTCTTTCACTTAGCATAATTCAGTTGAGGTGAATCCATTATACAGGCTTTATAATTTCAAAAAAATGTTGGCACATATTGTTGGTGCCTGGCCCCATATCCTGTTGGCACTCACTGTTCTAATAGAGCCCAGTAACTTCCCTCAGCAAGCTCCTGAATAGCCTCTGCCAGCAGGGTTCTCTGGCTCCAGGAGTGGGGATTCAACCATGCACAGGGAGTTAACACCCAGTCGTGGGTGGAAATTGATGGCTAAATGCCTCAGCTTCCTTGTGCTCTAGGTGAGACAGCTCTGAGGTGGTATCTCCCAGCTTCCCAGCGGGGTTGAGCCCAGCTGCCCACAGTGGCCCCCTACCCTTTTAACACCCCCAGACATTTGCTTTCTTCTCCTCCCACTCTACTATCAGGGTTTCCTGGGATCACCCCTCTAGGAAATATTCAATTTTAGTTTCAGTCGGGTTCAAGAAGAACCCAACTTAAGACAAAAGTGTTATAATTTAATTTTATTTCAAGAGAAGAAAAAAAAGTGGAACAGAGAGAATTATTGAACTTCATTGAATTTTTTTCTTCATTACTTGATATAGTCCTTTCTAAATCAATTTCTTCCAAGTGTAAAGAATAATATGGGAAAAACAATAAGAGAGAGGTTAGTATCATTAGGTATATTTTAAACTCTGTTTTTCAATATTAGATGGTATGAATTCCCATTTAAAAAAAGAAACAAGAGTAAAAAGAAATTAGCACTCTTATTCCTCTCATTTTAAAAAATTGGCTTTAGTATTATTTTTAACTTGTCAAGGTTTATAGCATTTACATGTTTCCCATAAGCTTAATGCCTGCAGTTGTTCAGTCTTAGTTGTATATTTAAGAGCTTATCATCAATCTTTGTTGGTATAATTATTTTATACCTGGCTTTGTCACTCCCAAATTCTTTGTTTTGATACGTCTCTCTGTTGGTTGAGTTGGATGATTATATTAGTCAGAATAGGTCAGATTATGCTGTTGTAACAAACAATCCCCCAAAGCTCAGTGATTTAGCCAGCAAATGTTGATTTCTGTCTTAGGCTTCATATCTAGTATATGCCATCAGGAGAGCTCTGTCCATTGTAATCACTCATAGTTAGGTAGATGGAAATTCTCTTTCAATACATGCTTGGGGTGCCTGGCTGACTCAGTCAGAAGAGCATGTGACTCTTGATCTCGGGGTCATGAGTTTGAGCCCCATGTTGGGTGTAGAGATTACTTAACTAAATAAAACTTAAAAAAAAAAAAGTTTCCATGAGTACCACAGCAGTGGCAAGGTGCCATGGTGAATTACACACTGTATTTCGAAGCCTCTACCCAGAGTGATATATTCCACTTATGCTCACATTTCACTGGGAACAAAGCAACATTTGTTCACATTTCATTGTGAACAAAACAACAAAGCAAATTACATGGTCATACCTAACTTCGAAGGGTCAAGGACTCTTCTGAACTCAGAAGAAGCAGAAATTTTTGGTGACAGCACTAATCAAGACCGCAGTCATCAACTTGGTTCAATGCTTTTTTCCTGGATGCCTCACAGGTGTTACATTTCCTAAGTTCATAATATGATTGGGATATTTCCATTGGGGTCTGTTTAACTCTTTCTAGCTCTGCTTCTCTAGTTGTCCCCAAGGAGAGTCAACTGGCTGGCCCAAAGATTTAAATAGCTCCATCTCCCTAGGTCTCAGGTTCTGACCATCCAGAGCCCTTCCCTTGCTCCCTCCTGTACAGCCCATCCTTGGATTAATTCCCTACTGAGATAGGCATGAGATCTAGAAGTCACTCATTTTCTTTTCTTAAGATTTTATTTATTGGGCGCCTGGGTGGCTCAGATGGTTAAGCGTCTGCCTTCGGCTCAGGTCATGATCCCAGGGTCCTGGGATCGAGTTCCACGTCGGGCTCCCTGCTCCTTGGGAGCCTGCTTTTCCCTCTGCCTCTCTCTCTTTCTCTCTCTCTGTCTTTCATGAATGGATAAATAAAATCTTTAAAAAAAAAGATTTTATTTATTTATTTTAGAGGGAAAGAGAGCACGTGCATGCACATGCAAACGTGGGGGGGGGGTGGGCAGAGGGGGAGGGAGGGAGAATCTGAAGTAGACTCCACGCTGAGCACCTGAGCCTAAACCAAGAGTTAGATGCTTAACCGACTGAGCCATCCAGGTACCCCAAAGTCATTCATTTTCTAAAACAAGAGCTGGTTGGCTCTAGAGAAAGGAAAATGGGAAGTAGCTTTGTTCTTCACTCTATTTCTACACACCACTCACACTGCTGAAATTTGTCCCTTTAATCAGATTGATGTCTAGGATCATGTGGGAAGATTAGGGAGCTGAGAAACTTGGAGGAGACAGGCTTCCAAGATTAAGGAGCATCTACAGAGGGACCCTAGCACAGATACTGAAAACCAGGGTAGATGCTCCTTGTGTAGTGTAACTGGAAGGACACTGAGGATAAACCCTGTTCCCCACGATTTTCTCTACAGACACTAAGAATGCTCCCCATCAGCCATTCATTCTCTTGTGTTGATTTTAGTTTTTCTCATAAATAAAATTATTGACCCCAATTCTTCACTTTCTCCCTGTATTTTCCACCTTTGTCAGGTGATTTTGCAGTCCCTCCCACTAGAGGCAGAGTAACTCCCAGTCCCTTGACTTAGACTTGACCATGATTTGCTTTGGCCAATAGTACAAGTTTGAAATGACAGCATGCCAGTTCTGAGCTTCATTGTGCATTTCCATTTTCTCTCTCATATCTCGATCAATGTTGAGAAGAGCTAGCTCCTTGGATAACTGCTGCACCTTCAGGGTCCTAGAATAAACCCCAGTGAAACTGATCTGGCCCAATTTGCAGCAAGGACCCAAGGCCAGCCAAACCTGCAGCTTGATGCAAAGTTGCCCAGCAGAGCCCACCCTGGATCAGCCAACTCACAGATGTGTGAGCAGGAATAAAGGATTGCTATGCAAAGCCACTAATGTTTGGGACAGTTTGCTATGCAGCAATATCTAACTGATACATTCCTTCTAGTCTAACATGTCCTTACCCTGCCAAACGGTGCTGCATTAAAACCCAACCAAACCTTTCAATGGAGCAGCAGTCCAGAGTGAGTGAAAGAATATTGCCTCTGAAGGCAGCCGGGCACAGGGCACAGCCAGCTCTGCCAACCAGCACCTTATCCTGGGTAAGCTACTTAACTTCACTGAGCCTTGGTTTCTTCATCTGTAAAATGGGGCCAGGAAGGTAATTACCCTGCCTGGAAGCCTGGATTAATTGAAATAGTATATGTTAGATACGCGGTTCATAGTAGAATCTCTGTCTCTGTTCTTAAGGCTCTCCTCTGAGCCTGACCCCTGAGTGCTTGGTCATCTCGTGATACTTGGGAGAGAATTCATAGCTCTGAGTTGGAAGGGAGCCCAGCTATCAGCTTATCCAATTCTGTTCCAGCAGACGAGTACAGGACACTGTACACTATACACTCTTTAGGGAGATGAGTGGGTAATAAAGGACAACCAGTACAAATCAGATTTTGACTGGGATCTTATAGGGTCACATCAATCCACTGATCCCCAAAGGCATTTTCAAGGACACTCAAGAGGGCACATGTGTCCTCAGCCAGGTCAAAGGCTCATCTTCTACTTGGCAGGACAGTTGTTTCAATGACTTGGGAGAGGATTGGTGCCTGAGAACATTTACCAGTTGTCATGGATTTGAGCAGCATGTTAAACGGGAGCCAACCATCTGCAAGGAAGAGGGGTTGAGTATTGACTCTTAGCCCAATATCTGTAGTTTGGGGGCATCTGTGAATCAATAAATGATTTCAGTTAGTATTTATGGAGCATTTAAACTTCTACACATGATTAGGTACTAAGGGAAAGGCAAAGGAAATAAGAACAAGTTTCTCTGGCTTTGAGCAGCTTACAGCTTAA